TAAGGGTGGAATGCATGTAAATGCATGCTCAGTTACTTCAGGCATGTCTGACTCTTTGTGACCCCATGGACTGTAGCCCGCCAGGCTCCTCTGTCCATGGGATTCTCCAGGCAAGGATACTGGAGTGGGTTGCCGTGCCCTCCTCCAGGGGATCATCTTGACCCAGGGATCAAACCCATATCTCCTGCGTTGCAGGGGATTCTTGACCCATTGAGCTCCCTAGGAAGTCCCAAAGGTGGAATAAACACATCTAAAATTCTTTGTACAATTTTCATTGAGTGGTAGCACTATAAATATGAAGAAAAGCTTTGGCCTAGATATGGAAGAACTTCATTTAAAAATTTTCCTGCAAAACGGGGGAAATAACATATGTTACTTATGTCTTGGCATCTGGTCTTTACTCAGTAAGCCCTCAACAAATTATGGAACAAAATATTTCATTAATCATAGAATAAGAGCACTCAACATCTTAAGGGACAAAAGAAGGACCTTCTCATTCAGTGGTGATCAGGTGCAGGTTGAGGGGAAGTTATTTGTCTGTTATGGGGTTTTTGGAAAAGCCATCCTTGCCTCTTCTTGGAGCTTGTCTCCTAAACACTGGAAAGCTATAAGCAGACTCTTTTATTTGGATGTCAAATAGCCATTGATATGTCCTTAGATTTTCCTTCTAGCAGATCATTTTTTTCCTAAGGGTATTTACAAATAAACTAAAAATTACAGGAGGGGTTCTAAATGATGTTTTAGATTTCTCATTCTTCCCATAATGGGAAAATAGGAAACAGAAGCTAGAAGTGTAGAAGAGATGGCATTAAGCTAGAGAGGTGACTGAGAAATGAATGCCCTGGGACTGCAAGTCTAAGGGGCTCCCTGGAGCTTCTTAAGGCGTGGTCTTCTTAAGGTGAAGTGAAAGGGGTCCATAGAAAGCCGCTTCATCTTAAGACAGGCAAGGTTGAGAGCTGGGGGAGGGTGTGATCAATGTCTTGTCTCCTAAATTAGGCAAAGCCATGAGATACAGTGAAAGTTGTCTCAGATATTTGTTCCAGCTGGGTAGGAACCTCCCCACCATAGGAGCCCTCTCTTCCCTGCTTGTTCTTGGAGTCTCCTCAAAAACATTCTTCCTTGAACTCTGAATACACTCTTTTTACTCCCTCGTAGGCACTATCTCAACTCTCACTTTCTCCTTAACATTTGAGGGGTAAACTTGCTAATTATATATGGAATACTGTGTGTGTGTGTGTGTGTGTGTCTGTGTGTGTGTGTTGGGTGACTCAAGTAACAGTAATTCAAGTAACATTTAACTTTACAGATTTCACATGCAACAATTTATTCTCATAAGAATAATTTCACAGTGTTCATTTCTCAGAGAATGAATTACTACCGAGTCATTCTGTAAGGAAAAGAGACTTTTTTAAAGGTAAGGATTGCTTTTCAAATCTTCTCTGTTACATAACAGATAGTAAATAGGAATTAACAAATATATTCTATTTTATTCAATCACAAATAATCAACAGACCTATTTAACAAACATTTATCCACCATCTACTATATACCAGACACTGTTATATTCTTTTGTTCTTAATCTTACAAATATCCTTCTCTCCTTTCTCATTTGAACATTCTGACTGACCACTGAGTGAATGTGTCCTGTTTAAAATCAATCTTGGCTCTTCAGAGCAAAGCTTATACATTCCTAGATCCCAGATACTTCTTACCCGCTGTTTTGTGATGGATGAGCAGTTAAGAGTTACTTTTGGGCAAGCATTTGCATCCTGATATGAAAAGCTTAGCAGTGTGTTGGGTCTAGAAATTGGTCAGGTTATTTTAGTGTTTAGATCATGAAATAGTACCCTGAGACTTCTGTGGTAAGGTGAGAAGAGATTTAGAAAAATAAGCAACAGAAGTCAAAACCAAGATTTTTGAATTTGAAGAATGTGTTTTGATTCTATTTTTGGATAAAGTTAGACTTTCTGTTTTTATCAGAGAAATGTCTCTTTTTCCTATTTGTTTTATTCTTTTCTTTTGTGTCACTCTTTTTGTGATTAGTTCTAGGTTTTCAGACTATTTTTCAAAAATCCTAGGGTTGGAAGATTACTGATCATTAATTATTCTTTATTTCTTGAAAGTGCAGCATAACACATCAAGAATACACCTATGTTAATAGAACATCTGAAAATATTTACCCTAATAGATGCTAGCTCTACTATAATGATACATGTTGTACATCTCCCTTACCCAATTTCTTATATTTTCATTTACACTTTTATTTCTTTACTCTTTGAGAAATCATTTGTTGTACTCTTTCTACATTACTGCTTACTAGTTTCTATGCCACACCTTGGGAATGTATGAATTGATTGAAATATTATCCTCAAGCCTGTTAAGAAAGAATATATGTTAAACAGATTAAGTATAATTGCTTGTTGCTAGTTGGAATAGCATCACAGTGATAAGGTCACAAAGAGGAGAAATTCACTTATTTTATTGTTATTAGGTACGGGTGCTGCTGCTGCTGCTGTCACTTCAGTCGTGTCCGACTCTGTGTGATCCCATAGACGGCAGCCCACCAGGCTTCCCGGGCCCCGGGATTCTCCAGGCAAGAAAACTGGAGTGGGTTGCCATTTCCTTCTCCAGTGCATGAAAGTGAGAAGTGAAAGTGAAGTCGCTCAGTCGTGTCCAACTCTTCGTGACCCCATGGACTATAGCTCACCAGGCTCCTCTGTCCATGGGATTTTCCAGGCGATAGTACTGGAGTGGGGTACCATTGCCTTCTCCGAGATAGACAGTGGAGAGCAGCAGTGTGGTATGGAGTGTAAAGATTTTCTAGATTTGTGCAGGAGACTAAGTAGCATAAAACAATGTTGTTTGTTAAGGGAAATATGCCTTCTGAAAAATATTTAGTGCCTGCTTTTACCACACTTCATGTTATGAGAAACAAGGAAAATTTTAAACGTTCCTTAAGCGGGGAAGGTAGCAACAGATAAGCCCAGAAAAGGAAACAGGATCATGCTAAGAAATAGATTTTTATCCTGATAGTGATAAAGAATCACTAATGACACCAGCTCGGTGAGAAATAACAGAAAAATGTTTTTTAAAGATGATGCTGAAAGCAGTTTGGAGGACAGATGAGGAGGGGGCAGGAGAAATGAGACAAGAGGCCCCCCTGAGGAAGCACTGCAGGAACCCAGGAGAGAGAACTTAGTCTCAGTGAGAGTTAGAAAGAAGAGAAGCTACTGATGTACAGTTAAATGGGGGAATCAGTCAGGCTTGGGGAAGGGAAAGAAGAAGAGTTGTGGTCTTGGAAGATAAATTGGATAAGATACTAACATCGAGATAGAGAAAATAAGTATAAGAATAAATTGGGGGAGAAATTAATTATTTAGGGACCTATCCCTGAGTCAGGAAAATCCTTTGCAGAAGGGAATGGCAACCCACTCCAGTATTGTTTTGCCTGGAGAATTCCATGGACAGAGGAGCCTGGCAGGTTATAGTCCGTGGGGTTGCAAAGTCAGTCATGACTGAGCGACTAACATCGTCACTGAGTTTAAAGTTCATTTCTATCCCAGTCCACTTCACTGACAATCTGACATCTAATTGCTTTCTGGATGCCCCATAGATACTTTATGTCTCTATGATTTTGAGTACTGTAAGTATTATCTTTTATAAGTGGAATCATACAGTATGTTTTTGTGTATATGTGTGTGTTTGTGTGTGGCTGACTTATTTTACTTAGTATAATGTCTCTAAGTTTCACCCATGTTGTGATGAACGTCAGAAATTCCTTCCTTTTGAGGGTCAAATGACAGCCCGTTGTATGCACATGTACATTTTGCTTATCCATTTGTGTATCCATGAGCTAACTCTTGGTTGCTTCCATATGAATAGCTATTAGCTATGCTGCTATGAGTATTGTTATACATATGGTTAGTAATGTTGCTATGAATATTGTTATACATATCTCTTTGAGACCCTGCTTTCAAATTCCCACCAGTAGTTTAAAATGTCCCAATTTCTTCACCTCTGTGCCAACCCCTGATATTTTCTTTCTGTTTTTTTTAGTAGCCATCCTAACTGGTATGAGATGGTATCTTGTTAAAGTTTTGATGTTAAAAATCTTTATGTGTGATTATTGGCCATTTGTGTATCTTCTCTGGAGAAATGCCTGTTCAAATTCATTGCTTATTTTTGAATAAAGTTATTTTGTTAATTTTTGAATTATAGGAATTCTCTGTGTATTCTGCATATTAATCTTTTATTAGATATATGATTTGGAAATATTTTATCCCATGCAGTGGATTGCCTATTTCTCTGTTGACATTATCAATTGGTTCACAAATTTTAGAAGTTTCATGAAGTCCAATTTGTTTGTTTTTTCTCTTATGGCCTGCGCCTTTGGTGTCCTATTGGAGAAATAATATAGTAATAATTTTTTATCTTTTCATAAAGATATTATGCCAAAGTCATCTTATAGTTGAGCAGATAATACAAATATAACATTATCTTTCAAATTCAAGAAATATTTGATGTAAAACATGACTGATTTTTTTGAGAACTTTAAAAGTATTTTCTAATACAATCTTTTTTGAAAAGACATTGCACTGTGTCTGGATCTATTTGAGAATTTCACGTAATCAGAAAATAGCATTTTATTCTAATTCCTGATTTTTGGTAATATTATGCAATATCATTTGAAAATCATCTGCAGTAGCTTGGGTGAAGTTTCCCGTTACATAAGCAAATAACTCTCAAATATTTAGTGGTAGTGGTTTTTAACATGTGTTGAATATTAGCTTTTATTACTTTTCCATGTTTTTTTCTCTTTCAACAAGTAGTCTAGTGAAAACGGTATTGTTTCAACAACTTTAAAAACAATTGGGAAATAAGAAGCTAAATCCATTTAGAGACTTTATAGTTCTGTGTGTAATTTTGATATATGGAGGGCATCAAGGTCAGTCCGAAGAGTGGATGTCATATCTCACAAATCTAACTCGAAGGCCGATTTCATGAGGTGGGCGGAGGTACGTGTAGATGGAAGTCTAGAACGTTGGAGGCACAATAGCAAACTATTGACAAAAAAAGAGTGAATTGCGTGTGTGTGTGTGTGTGTGTGTATACTTGTGTGTGCACGCTCAATTGTGTCAGACTCTTTGCTACCCACAGTACTGTTTGCTACTGAGGCCGCCAGGCTCCCTGTTCATGGAATTTTCCAGGCAAGACTACTGGAGTAGGTTGCCATTTCCTTCTTCTGGGCATCTTCCCGACTCAGGGATTGAACCCCTGTCTCTTGTCTCCTTATTCATGACAGGCTAGCGGCTCTTCTTTTATAGTCTTTTCCATGTGGAAAGCAAGCGTGATGGTGGCCGTCCGGGTGAGCCATGGCTCTTTCTGGTTTTTCACTGGAGTAGAGTGGTTATTATCTGTATATTTATGCTGCACTAATTAAGCTGCCCCTTTCCTAATCCTTTGTTAGAGCAGGTTTTTGTCTGTGCTCCTTGGTTTTTCCAGGGGGCTGCTTTTTTCAACTCCAAGCTTAGAACCCGTGAGCCAAGAAAGAAAACCTGAGGAACTTAAGATCTGTCCCTCAGGTTTGGGGCTCTCTAGCCCGTCTGCCTTCTTCCCACCGAGAGAGACTTTTCGTGTTCCTTTATGTACAGTGCCCAGGGCTTTTACTTAGTCCAGGACTACAGCTGTACTTAGGGAAACGTGTGTCTGTTCCCTTTTCCTGTAAGTCGAAGTCCATTTCGTTTTCAGCCTCTCTGAGTTACTTTGACTTAGGGTTATCTCTTGTTTACAGCATCCATTTGGGTCTTGTTTTTTGAGCCAAATTGAAAATTTGTTTTTTATTAAATAAGTGAGTTAAATTCTTTCACTTTTATTGATATGACTGATACGTTTGGTTCCAATTGTCACAAAATGTTTTGTAATTATGAATATTTTGTTGTATTTGCTATGTGTCTCCATCTATGAGATGTATATTCTTTATGTTCTTTGTTCACTTATTATTTGTATTTAGGAGGGTTTGTATTTTTATTCTTGTGGCTACCTTTGTATTTATTTCTATAAAAATATATTTAGTTCCATGTTTTCTTATCTAGTCATTTACTATCCAGTTTATACTATGTTTTCAACATTTTTTAGTGCTCCCTTGTTGCCTATACAGCAATGAGCCCTTTAATTTCTACTATGTCATAGAATGAAACATTTGTATCTTAGTCTTCCACTTTTATCCCATATTGTTTTAGTCTTACATGTACATTTATGTATTTTAATACACTTATTATTGATCCTTTTGTTTAAGGTTTCCCAATCATTACTTGATTGAAATTCATTTGATAATTAATTCCTCCAGAAGGGCTGCTGAATGAAGAATCTCCTATGTTCTTATATGTTAGAAATGAATTTACTATGCTTGATATTTAAAGGATGGATGGCTTGTTTGGATATAAAATTCTTTATGTTTTTACATTTTCTTTTGCTGGACATTTTTATAAAGATTGATTCATAATTGTATTTGGTTTTGAAGTCTTTAAATTAATAATATTGATTTGGTAAACTATCTGAATTATCTGCTTGGAGATGTTGAAGATTTTAAATATATCTTTGAAATCTAATTTAAGAAAATGACTTCATCATTTTTCCGCTTACCCAGTAAACCTTTCCAATGTGTAGATTTAGGTGATCTTTTTAAAATTTCTGAAACTTTTTCTTAGGCTTTATTTTATATATTATTTCTGTTCCATTGTCTCTTTTTTTCTTTTTCAATGACTCTGGTAATATGAATATTATTCCTAGTTTGCCTGTCTTCCATTTCTGCAATTTTTACTTTATGTTATTTTCAGTCTCGTGGTCACTTTCCTGCCTCTTTCCAGTGCCCTTTGTTACTTTCTTATTTGACATGATTCTGCCTTAAGCATCTTATAGTTTACATTTCTGAGATAATTTCGTCTTTTTTTCCCATTGCTTTCCTGAGTTCAAGCAACTCTTCTTTTATTTCTCTCACTTCCCCCCCTCCCCCATATATTTCCATTTCTGATTCAAGGTGGTTTTATTACCCTCAAATGTTCAAGTATATTTATTTTTATTTATGTCTGTATTTATACAGAATGTTTTTACCCTAGGTATCTGCAACCTTCTGATCATATTTTTGAGGTGTCAAACCTCTTTTTAAATATTTTCTACAATGTTTAGCATATGTTATGCTTACAATGCTTACAATGCTTACAGACTTTCAATAAATATAACTGTTTTATAGTTTTATATCTACATTATTTGAGTTTTAGTAACTCAAGTAATTATTTCCTATGAAAATGTTCAATTAGACTGTTTCAAGTTGTAGGTTAAAGAAGCAAATAAAATATTGATCACCTTGGTCTGAAGTTCTGAGACTAAAATAATCCTTAATATTTTAGATAAAAGGATAATATTCTTTTTATCTATACTATTCCCTTCATCTACCCACTAAACAAGGTGAAAGAGCATCCATCTAGTACAGTTTCTGCTTCTGGCAAGTGGAATTATGAATTAACCAATGATCTTGTTAAAATGCAAAATGTGATTCAGTAGGTCTAGGGTGACCTATATTTTGGAATTCTATAGACTCACTGGTGATGTCCATCCTGATCTGAAAAGTACAGTATCCGTAGCAAAGTACTGATGTTGTCCACTTCAGGCTTCTCTCAAGGAGTTAAAATTGCCGCTTGTATTGTTTGTTTGGTTTTAAATGATGCATTGTACCTCTCTAGTGTTTTCTGTAGAGAAGATCTTCTTGCAGGGGTAACATCTGAGCTGAGATGTAAGAAGTCTACAAAATTCTACTGTATTTTTGAAGCTTTCTTCTTTTATTTAAATAAATTTATGGAATCCTGACCAGGTCTTCATGTGTAAGGTCATCTTTTGGCATTTCCTGGAGCTCCACTGGTCTTGGAAAGTGCCAGAACCACTATTTTAGTCTACTTCAGTTACTTCCTTATCACATTATTCTGTGGTGTCTTTGTTTTGGAAATTGTGGACCTTGTAGTACCTGTTGCGCTTCCAGCTATTAGACTAGTTGATGAAGAGTCTGTGTGTCATTTTCAATGTTGATCAAGGAGCTTTACTGCCTGAAAATCTTCTGCATCATCGGTGAAAAGTGCGACTGCTTTAGAATCAGAAATCCTGGGTTAAAGGTTTACGTGTAATTAAGCTTTACACATAGTTCCATAGATGTTCTGACAGTGTAAAAGAAGATGCCTTCATTATGTTTGTGTCCATTATGAACTATTATGCTTCTCATATGTCAAATTAATGTTTTCATTAAGCTCCTAATTATCTTGAGAGTAGCATAATTATGTTATAATTTTGTGTTAAATGTAAACATTTTAAAGAAAATCCAGTTTTTATAGACATGTTTGGGCACATCTTCATTTATCAAAATAATAGTGAAAAGTCAAAGTGTTAGTTTGCTCAATTGTGTCTGACTCTGCGACCCCATGGACTGTAGCCTGCCAGGCTCCTCCGTCCATGGGATTCTACAGGCAAGAATACTGGAGTGTGTTGCTCTTTCCTTCTCCAAGGGATCTTCCCAACCCAGGGATTGAACCCAGGTCTCCTGCATTGCTGGCAGACTCTTTACTTCTGAGCCACCAGGGAAACCCCCAAATATTAGTAGTCTCAACTAAAAGGAAAAGATTGTGTCTCTCTCAAGCTCTGAGAGATTTTAATCAAAATGCAGTTAATTGTATATTTATATTTTATAATATAAATCAACCAATATATCAGTATACCATTTCTACTCTTTATACACTTTGATCTTTGCCTTTTCTTTTTCATTGAGATAAATTAAAATTGAACAATGAAAATTATGCTTTGAGAGGGGATTGCTCAGCTATAAGTCAAATTCTTTGTAACTACTAGATAGAAAGTAGGCTGATAGTTTGAGATAGTACAACAACACTAAGAGGAAAATATAAGCTCGTGAAATAGACTTAAATGCTTCTAAATCACTAAATCTTGCCAAAAGTGGATTCAGTTATTTGATGATGTAAGTGTAAATGAATCAGTAACATTTGGATTTGATTTTTTTAAGTTGCATATGATTATTAAAAAATGGAATGTTGCCTAAAACACATTTTGAATTTTAGTAATCATTTCTAGAGTTATGCATAAGAATTCCTTTCATATTTCTTTAATGGTAAAATATTTGGTAAAGAAAGTTTATTTCCTTAGGTTCTCAGAGTTGTAAACCAAAGGTCACTGTTAGCATAAAGTTAAGGAAATTAACTTGGAGAAAAAACAATCCCTTCATATTTATATAAGCAACAAGTCAGCCAATAACTAGTCAAGCAAATTCTATTTTGTTTTATTTTTTTCTCCATTTATTTTTATTAGTTGGAGGCTAATTACTTTACAATATTGTAGTGGTTTTTGTCATACATTAAAAATACTATGCCGATTTTTTGACTTAGGTTATTTTTCGTGCCGTTTGTTTTGTTTAAAATGCTCTGTGGGACCTCCTCGGCAGTCCAGTGGTTAATACTACACACTTCCAATGCATGGGGTGAGAGTCCCATTCCTAGTCATGGAAATCCTGTTGCATGTGTTTCTTTATAGTTAGTATATAGTCATTATATAAAAGTGTTTATGTTTGAAAGGAGAAAAATGATCACATGGATTTCTTACAATGATGCAAAGGTAACAATTATTAATAATTTAACATTTTCCCGTGTTTTTTTCACGTATGTTTATACCATTGAGATTCTACATAGAGATTTTCATTCTGATTATTTTTAGTTAATATTTAACATAAACACTTTTTCACATTGCTAATTTGAAATGTTTTTAGTGGTTACCTAGTACTATATTGCATAGCTGTACTGTACTCTGCTTTTGCATCCCTCTGCTATTGAACTGTTTCCAATTCTCCTGTCTTATAAATATGGCTATGATGAAAATTACACACAATACTTTTCTTTGTATTTAAAGCCTTCTCTGTATTTAATAAGACCAAGAAGAACAGGTAAATTACTTAATCCAAGAATAA